TAATAAATCCATGTTTTTAAAGGAAATAAATTATTAAACCAACAAAACCAACAATGAATAAAGATTAAAGATTAAAAATTAACTCACATATTTTCTCAACTCAAACGAACCGGAAATCCTACTCACAGCTCAGGAGAACCAGGAGAACCACCAGAACCGGGCTGAACCAGGCTGAAGTGGGCGGAGTTTAAAGTTTGGAGCCACGCCTCCTGTCCTGCAGACTTCAGGTCTGAATGAGTTTCCTGAAACGAGCTGTTTTTGTTTCAGCCCGTCGGTCCGGTTCGGATGATGGAGTGTTGGGTCAGCACCGTGTCCTGGGGCAGTTGGATGCTGATTGTGGGCGGGGCATCTTACCTGGTGCAGCAGAGACGGACCTGCACCAAGTACGGCCGCTACAGCCCAGCCCAGAGCCGGTGCTGCCCGGCCCGGATCGCCTGGTTACTGCAGGAGGTTCCAGCCTTCCTGGTGCCCCTGCTGCTGATGCTGCTGGACTCTGGACCTGAGACCAGGACCGGCAGGATGCTGCTGCTCTGGACCTTCATGCTGCACTACTTCCACAGGTCAGTGAGACCCAGCAGAACCTCCGGACACGAAGCTGAAGTTAGCTTCCGATTCGGGAAATGACTAAAGGGATATTACAACTAATTTTTCACTCCCTTGCGCGTGTTTAACCTGCTCTAGCTCAAAAACTACAACACCTGAACTCTTCAAACCAGGACTAGATTATTCTACACAAATAGTGAAATAATAAAAACTAAGTTTGAGCTTTGGGAAACCTATGACTGTCATGCTCTGTCATCTCTGGACTGCTGAATTTCTTTTGCTCCTGTGCAGTTTTTTCATTACAGTTATCAAAAATGTGCAGAATTTGTGAATAATGCTRATCAACCATGATTCTGATGGAAATCAGATGCATGATTGATGCCATTTTGGCAGGTCTAGTGTGGTCCAGTTGCATAAAAATGATAAAAAACAAACTTTATTGATGTTTCATAAATCAGACAAGTTTTTATTATTCTTCTATTAGTGTAGAATAATCTAGTCCTGGTTTGAAGAGTCCAGGTGTTGTGGTTTTTGAGCTAGAGCAGGTTAAACACGCGCAAGGTAGTGAAAAATTAGTTGTAATATCCCTTTAGTCATTTCCCAATCAGAAGCTRACTTCAGGTTCGTAGTTAACATCTATCTGTGTTCACTGCTTCTCACCTGATCCAGATGGCGACTCCAAAGGTTCCGGAGGTTCGTGATATCACAAGGATTGAGAGAATTGGTACGTTTATGACAACCTAAATGTTTTATAATATTCAGGATGATATGTTTTGTATCTAGAGGTMGTGTCTCACTGGGCTGTGACTAGTTGGTCTTTATGAGGACCATTACAGAAGGTGCTGCACTGCAAACACTGATTTGTCACGTTTGTGTTGTGAGCAGCAGAGACCTGCAGGCCTGTGGCTTCAGGTCTGGACAGTTGTGTCAGGTCGTCCCGGTGCTGATGCAGCTGTCTTAAAGCACATAAAGTGTGTTGTGAGGATCTGCACCCTGCTTCACCAATGTTAGAGCTTCATTAGACTCATGTACTGGAGCTCTCCTCTGACAGAAAACATCCATGTAGGTGTAAAACCAGTCTGATTAGTAAAAACAGCTATTGATGAACTGGTCCAGATTTACCTGTSTTAAATCATAAATATGGAGCAGCTGTCCAGGTGGGTACAAAATGAGCTGAGAGGTGATAAAAACTGATTAATGTGCAGTTGTGAAAGCCGTGCACGTGAAAACAGGCTGTAATTTTCAACAACATTTTTAAACGTTGATCACAAACACAAAATTCAGTCAGGCTGCTTTGGAAAATTTACCCACAAAGAGTCGCAGCTCAGTGAAATACTGCCTGGTGTTTTTATTTATTTATTTTGTCAAACATGAATAATGTTAATTGTTGTGTTTAGGAGCTCATTCCCACATCCGTGGYCTTGGTCTGGATGATGCGTTGGAGCCAAGACAGGTATGATTATATRATCTTTGTTCCTCTTTCAACAGTGAAGCTGTCTTTTTTTCATCAAACTCTTATATTAACAGAAAGTTTGAAAAATGGACAAAGCTGTAATAAAGTTAATGATTTTGCTTATTTTTAACACATGATCACAAATATAGGCAAGTGTTTGACTAAATGAGATATTTTAGATTAATACAGAGAAAAATCACAGCTTTACCTCACAGAGTAAATGMTGTAAGATCATAAAAACATTCAAACAGTTTTTCAAAAGCTGAGACTCTGCTTTTTTGCTTTAGGAAGTTGCTAAATGTTATTATGTTTGATTGGATATTTTCTATTTTGACAATATATTTAAAATACATTTCAATTTTCATTAAAAACATGCAAACAGAGACACAAAAAGAGTTGAACCTGTATCTCCCTGTCAGTTCTCTGCCTATAAAAATATTGGATAATAGGGTGTGTATTAGTAAGAATTTGGCGATACGATACATATCATAACAGAGGGATCACGATACGATATATCCTGATATATTGCGATAC